GATAGCAGTGGAACAGTCGGACACACATACATACATACACACACACATACACACATACACACATACAGACACACTAACTGCAAAGACTCCCATTTTGTGCTTCGCACATGGGAGTCAAAAATTGATAGACTACCGGATAAATTTAAACATCTCTTTGACCTCAACTGTATTCCAACAGACTCTAGTATTTTTAATCTCGTAAATTTAGGTGGTACGTAATTAATATTGTAATAAAATCTACATATTTTTTGTGACCATTTCTGTTTCTTCATTGTAAAAGTCGATGACGACGCAACTAATTTCGTAATTTTATTTTCCCTCAAAGATGTAATATCCCCCTCAATTTGTCACATGGTGAATTAAAATTGTCATTTGCACTTTTTTTTTAGGGGGGGTGCTTGGGTAAGTGCCCACCCCTAAAAAAATCATGATTTTCTGAGTTGAGGACCCTAGGCACTAACGCGGTCTCGTACGGTAGTAAAAGAAGGTAACATCCTGTAAGGAGTAAAAAATACATGTACAAATGTAGGATTGATCATTCGTTGGATGAAGAGACATATCATTTGAGTTTATCAAAATTGTACAAATACAATCAAATTGATAAAATTAAATACTGTAAAACATGTTGAAAAAGCGACATGCAATTTTAGTGAATTATGGTAAAATGACGTAATAGCGAAATTTTTATTTAGCGAATCTCTTTTGTCATTGCTGATTTCCTGTTTTCACAATACTTGTCTGTTGTGTACCAAAACAAATGCAAAGTTATCACCTCTATAAAAACAAAGAAAACCGTCAAGTGTAATTAGGAAGCGTCCCAGATTTTTATGTTCCGGATTACCATGTATGTAAATGTGTTGAGATGGGCGTAGTGCGAGTGGTTAGTGCTAGTAGCACTAATCCGAAAAAGTACTAGATCTAGTGGTAAAAATGGCACTAGATCTAGTGCAAAAATGGCACTAGATCTTGTGCTAAAATGTGCACAGTGCGAGTGGCATTGTTATCGCATTGTCAACGACGTCGAATAATAGGAGGGGCATCAACAACCACTTCATATGCAAACTACAAACAGTATAAAACATCGGCAATATCTGTGAGATGTCCATAATATTACTTTCTTTATATAATACCGGATTCTGCTGTAAATTCGCTCATCAGAAAAATCGTCCTGGGGATTTCACGGCTGGTGGGCGCTTATTTGGGGTTCAAAATTTCAAAAAATAATCATCAAATATTTTTGGGGGACTTATTTTCATTGAAGTATCCAACTACGCAGACTTTCAACGCCGTGAGTTGGGCCACCCAAGACGAAAGAAACTATTGCAGAATTAATAATTCTTGCTGAATTAAAAAGTAGACTGCCTGAAATGTCATTACAGTGTCGCCCAGTGTCATTTTTCAAATACATTTGTTTTTATTTTATTGGTAACGAAAGAATATTGTAAACGAAGTTTCATATAAAAACAAACACAACTGCATTGCGTAGTAGCATGGAACTATAGTTCCATGGTAGTAGCAAACGATCACAGTTGCGTAATCCGATCATGCTGCGTTTGACAATTGTTGATTATTACTCAGTAGTGATTATAATAACGCACAAAAAATAAATTCGTTGAATTGCTATGAAATTCAAATAAAATTCAACTTAGTTTCAACGTAAGCAAATGATTCCGATCGCATATAAACGCTCGATGCTGTATGGTATCCGCCATGTTTCTCTTGCATGAGTTGAGGTCAAATCGCTAATTAACCAAATAAAATGCTGAATGATGCCATGGAACTAGTT